AGGAAAATATACATGATCCTATATCATCCGATGATGATGAAGAAGATGCGAGAAGAAAGGCTTGGGAGGATGAAGCATCAAGTTTCAAATTTAGCATTGAGCAAAATGTTTTCTTCTGCTGCTGAGTTCAAACAAGCTCTTTTAAGGTATTCATTGAAAACAAGATATGACATCAAGTTATACATTTCAACGGAATTGAAGCTTGGAGATGTTTGCTCGGATACAGTGTATGATTGTCCTTGGAGAATGTACGGCTCATATGAGAAGAGGAAGCATAAGCTGCAAATAAATGAATAATATCAATGAGCATGCTGGTGTAAAGTCTGGTTATTCCAAAATGTTGAAGAGTTCATCTATTGCTCAGTTGTTTTCTGAAAGACTAAGGTTGAATCAAAAGTTTACGGCTATAGAGATTGGTGAAGAGATCAAACAGATCTACACGTTGACAGTAACTGATGAGAAATGTCGAAAGGAGAAGACTAAAATCATTAGAGAAAGACGATCAAGCCATGAGAGTCACTTTTCATGCATTTAAAACATGAAGCCGAGCTTGGTAAGACTAATCCAGGCACCATTACAAATTTTTAATTACCATTCCTGGAGATACACCATGATGTAAGCAAATGTTTGATTGCTTCCATGTATGTTTTGAAGCCCAACGTGCAGTTAGAAGTCTACTTGTAGGCCAATCATAGGTCATGACGGAGCTTTTCTAAAATGAGATGTGAAGGGCCAATTGATTGCTGCTATTGGAAGAGTTGGAGATAATCTAATTGTGTCAATTGTTTGGGCTGTTGTCGAGATAGAAAATGATATTAACTCGCAATGGTTTGTCAATTATCTTAAAAGGGATTTGGATCTTGGTTATGGACGCAACTTCACAATGATATCTGACAAGCAGATGGTAAGACTATACATTGTGTTCTCCATGTTGTTATTGTAGTTTTGGATGGTTTAATAAAAGCTGATCATCTAGAGCTTCCTAATGTAAAACATTGAATGTGTGCAAGATACATTCCTAGAAATTGGAAGAGAGACAGTCATGACCCACAGCTAGAGAAATTATTTTGGAAAATGGACCGCAGTTACACTTTTAGAGACTTTCAAGAGAAAATGATTTAGCTTAATAGGTATAATGCAACGCAGCTTCAAGTCACCGATCCTCACACTTAGTCGCATGCCTTTTCTTAAGATTGGTTCTTGTTACAGTGATAATCTGAACAACCTCAATAAATCTTTCAATAAAACAATATGTGAGGCTAGGCGAAAACCACTTCTTGACATGCTTGAGGAAATTAGGAGACAATGCAATTTCATATTAATAATAAAAGTTAAAAATAAAAATATTATAGTTTCGATATATGTGTTATCAAATTTTAATTTATTTATAATTTTTTACATTTTGTGTATTTTTTGGAAATTTTATTTTTGAAATTCAAAAATATTTTTTGCAATTATGTTTAGTTTTTCTTGAAATTATATATTTTATTTCTTTATGTTATAAAAATTTAAATCCACCCTTAATACCTAGGTTTATATTATTTAACTATAAGAGTTTAAGTGTATATTTATATTTTAATGAAATATTTCATCATTTTAATTTTTTGGAAATTATATTTGAGATAAATAAATTTTATGGCTATTTTGGGAATGTTTCATTCATTAATAGAATGTCATGTAGATTTCGGTCACTTAGATGATGTCTTATTAGAAAAATTTTTTTCTTAAACTTTATTTTTTACTATACTTATACTAGTTATTAAAACTTTAATACTTAAAAGTAAAATAATTTAATTTGAATATAAATATTCGGTTGCATTATTTTAAGGATTAGTCTAGATTTCTCCATGTGTTTGGGATATCTTCAGATTAATAAAATAAAAAATATTCGGTTGCATTACCTATCTCAATCATCGTTAAATGAAATGTTGTTTTTTTGTTTATTGAAAAAACAAAACGACAGCATGTGATAGCGAATTGAATAAAACCATGACGCTCCACGTAGAAACAGTTCGAACGTGTGATCCATGTCGATCGGTTGGAGCTAAAAAATCACTTTCTGGAGCTAAAAAATTAATATTTATTTATTACTTCTAAATTAATTTATATCTGATCCGATTAAAGGCATATATATAAATATATAAATATAATTAAAACTATAGAAAATATATAGTTATTATCCATCTATATAACTTTAAAAAAATTTATTACAATAATAACTTGGAATATAGATTTTATTTTAACTTTTTAAAAATAATTAATTAATTTAAAACTTCTAGAACATATGACTTAATTTTTTTAAAAAATTATTAATTTCTTTCTTTTCACATCCATGTGGACGTAATTTTTGAGATTAAAATCAAATAACTCTATAAGAAAAAATATTAATAAAATTTTGTTGTATATGTAAAAAATTAGTATTTCATGTTACATATATAGATTATTAGTTTTTCATAAAATTAAAATTTAGTGCTTTTTGCAAAACCTTTTCAGTGCTTTTAGTTGAATAAAAGAAATCGTATACTTGAAAGTATTTATCTATTTTTCGTATCAGTATATTTTTTTTTAATAAATAAAACAAATCACGTTGATCACATTTAAATAAAAGAAACCCTTAATTATCTTGTCAACCTGGCCCTATCGCTTAAATTTTAAAACTCATGTTGATCACATTTACATAATTACTCTCCACAATCAATGGCATAATCGAGCTTCCAAAAACAATTCGGATAATATTAAAAAGTAAGCATCTTAACACTACACTCCAAAATAATTTCATTTTAAGACAAAAATATTCTGTTGTTTTACCTTTTTATTTTTAGTTTTTGGTCAAATTCGGTTGGCTGGACCTCTACCGTCTCAATTATTGTACCCCTCCGCTACCGTCTCAATTATTGTTAAACTAGGTGTTTTTGCCCGCACATGCGGGCTTAATGATTTTACAAATATCTATAAATAAATATGTAATCAATTTAAGTAACATTAAAATAAGTTATTGTTTATATATTATTGTTTATCTATTCAACATATTTAATAATAGTTTTTTTTATATATTATGTTTTTCCTCATAATATAATAATTGCCATTACATAAATTAAATTTAAAAACACTTATAAGTTAAAATATTTAGTAATAAATTAATATCAAATTTTAAGATATGAGAAAAATTTGAGTATAATAAAATTATATTTTATTGCGTAAATAAAGTTGAAATACTCTGGTATACATAAAAATATATAGAAAATAAGATGTATGAACTTTTTTTTTAGTTTTATTTTTAAAATAAGATGAAAATTAATTTTTTGGATAACACAATATAAATTATTTTTTATCTATAATTATCAAATGAATGAGTTTTTTTTTAATTAATGATAAATTATAGATTAACAAATATAATTAGTTTTCAATGTTGATAAAGATTTTATAGCACAATATAAACAAAATAGATAAGGATAATTATAAAATTAATGAAATTCGTTTTTAATTTATAATTAATTATATATTAACAAATAAAACTATTTTCAAGATTAATAAAGACTATTTAAAACATTAGAAAATATTTTTATATAAGGATAAATCTTAAACCACTGAAATTCGTTATTTTTAGATAAGGATAAATCTTAAACCACTGAAATTCGTTTTTATTTATAGTTAATTATATATTGAAATTTTTTAATTATTCATTAAGGGTATAAATGATATTAACCACTCCAACTTTTAACGTGAGAGCTCCGTTGTGAAAAATCACTTCGCAAATAATAGTATAGATAAAATTGTCTTTTGGATAAGGAGAAAAAAACCAACAGCATTTAAATAAGAGAAAATGATTAGAATATATCTAAAAATTTTTTTATCATAAATATAGACCTTAACAATTAAAATGACCAAAATAGCATTTAAATGTTATTAAATATATATTTATTTCTCTTGGGTTAATTAATCCTAGATTTTTTTTTGTTTAAAGTTGAGGAGTTGAGTTTTGGAAATAGGGTTTCGAAATTTAAAAAATTAAAAAAAAAACTTAAAATTTTCAAAATAAAAAATAAAAATGCTATTTTGATCATTTTACTTTTTAAGATTTATTTTTGTGATAAAAACTTAAAAAAATAACTATTTGAGAGAATTGCCCATTCAATAATTCGAATTTAATCATCAGCCAACTAAACAGAGAAACTCGTTGAAACTGACTTGGCAGTCAACGCTCCGCATAAAACCCACGTGAATGTGTGATCCATCTCGTTCTCATGTTCTTGTCAGATAGGTTGTGCACGTCCATATAGATTTATCCAAATTGACAATTTTCTAGATATTGATGATCCAGTATGGCAGTATCAGATATAATAACGTTCAAATATGACCAAACTCAAACAAAATCATAATATGTACACAAAAACGAATATAAATGACCGGATGATTATGATCGAAGGATTAGAATACTAACATGTTTTAGTTTTGATTCACCTCACAATATTAAATTACAATTATTTCTAATCAATTTATTTGAATATGAGTCCATATTTTATGAACTACTTAAATTTTCGGAAAGATGGTCCATTCACAGATTACATTTTCAATTTAAATAGATCATATAAAAAAACTGTTTATGCTTAAATGATCTTGACCAATAATTTAAATATTTATGCTTAAATGATCATGACCAATTTTTGTTTAGTTTTTAACCTTGATGTTTTTTTTCCGAAAATCGATTTTAACATTATTTTGAGTTATTTATACTTCTCACTGACCATTCTGTGGAGCTCACTTTTTGTTCCGAACATAATGAGTCTGACCCATTATCCTACTTCGCATGCTTGTTTATCTATATAACTAGTCGATTGTATTTTAAATACGATTATCTGGTGCTTAAAATTTTAAAAATTCAAACTAATGGCATACTTAATTAAACTCCATAATCAAGGGCATAACGGAGATTCCAAATATTTCAGGTAATATATAAACGCACCCAGTCCCACGTTCATGACACAACAAAATTGTAGAAAGGAGAAAAACAAAAGACAAGCTATGGCGCATCAGCTCACCGAAGATCAAATCTCCAAGTTCAAGGAAGCCTTTAACTTATCTGACAAGGATGGTGATGGTATGATATGTTTCATCCCTGTCCTCTTTTAGGTTTCTGTTCAATTACACCGATCATTGATTATTTTTACAGGCCGCATTACCACAAAGGAGCTTGGTACTGTGATGAGTTCCCTCGGTCAGAACCCGACAGAAGCTGAGCTTCAGGACATGGTAAATGGTGCAGATGGTAACGGAACCATTGACTTCACCTGGTTCTTGAACCTGATGGCTGCGATGAATATGAATCCCATGAACGTTATGCCAGGAAGCGAAGAAGACCAAGGTAAAGTGTTGGTTGGTGAGTTGAGACATGTGTTACTTAAGCACAAATTTGATGATGAGATGCTTAAGGAAGGAGGTGTTGGTGATGGTGGAATGGTCGACTACAATAAGTTTATAAAACGTGTGATGGACGGTCCATTTTCTGATGAGTGATGGCTCGACACTTTCGGCTGGGCAGATATGTTGATGGTCATTGATACGAGAAAATGGTGTGAGTTTCCCTTTGTATCTCTTTTAACCAGTTTAATTTAATTCAATAATCCTTGTTATCTTTTCTCTTTTAAGTACGTGTGAACTTTCCGAAAGGAGAATAAATTCAGATTTCAACCTTTCTTTACTATCTCCCTCTCTTCTTATATCATTATCTCCATTGACTCAGTTGTAAAGGTAGGCAAGAAACTGAACCCTAAAGAAAATCATAACTGAACTCATCCAAAAAAATTGTATTGAACTCAACTCAGAATCGAACATACCAAAAAAAAAAAGAAACAATACCAAATCTGAATTGGACCCACCATAATATCTGGACAGATCTTATTTCACGGTAGTTTGGACATCGGATATTACTCGAAATCGATATGAACCAAATGGATATCCAATATATCCGGAAAACTCGATCTGTCACCATGTTTGGATTTATTTCTCTGAGTTCTTGAACCTCATGTCTCGTAAAATGAAAGATATAGATTTAGGGCCCTTTTAACAAAACAATTTAGGTGTTCTTATAAGATTGAAAAACTAGAATAGAATTCACAAAAAACTATGAGCTGAATTTATGTGTGTGTGTGTGTTGAAGACTAATGTCAATGACATATGAATATTTCTCAATCCTAGTCCTCCCGACTTTTTAACATCATCATCTTCATCGATTCTCAGTGTGTTTGACATTTTTAAAAAAAACTTCTATGTGTGTGTGTTGAAAATTAATGCCAATGACATCTGAATATTTCTCAATAACCCTTCTCAATAACTTTTTTTTTTATAACTTCAATGTGTGTTTCGAAAACTAATGTCAATGGCCTACGAACATCTCTCAATCATCCCCCCCCCCCCAACTTTTTGGAGTTGGTGAGTTTCTTGCATGAGATCCACCAAATTTTCTTATTGCATAAGCTCAGCTGGACGCCTGGACTTTGGTTCTTTCCGTCACTCATCTTCTCGGTTTTCTCCCTTGTGGTCTCCGTCGTCTGCGGCTGAGGGAGTTACTGATTGGTGCTTCAGATCTGGATGTCTTGTCACGGCAGCTGAGACGGCCTCCTCCAGTGTCGTGGTCACCCTGTCTCTGTCTCTGACAAGGTGTTCTGGCGGTTTTCTCCTTGCATTTGGTCAGTTGCTGCGAGTGTGGAGGCACGTGGGGGTAAGCGTGTCTGCGTCTTGAGCTGGAGCTTCGGGTGGCAGCGCGTTGAGTCTCCGTTGATGGTGACGTAAGTCCGGGTCTTTAGTGATATCGCGTTGGTGATTGTTAGCTCCGGTCCGCTCAAGCTTCGACTTTAGCTCCAGTTGCTCGTCACCCCTCGAATCAGACTAGTGTTGGTGGTTGTGCCCTTATGGCCTGGTCTTTCTCTTCCTCTACTCAATAACTAGGTGATTTTCCCGTACTCATACAAAAATATTTATAAAATAAATATATTATAATAATTGATTAATATTTACTTTAAATTTTAAATTATTTTATAATTTATATGTATAATTTATATTAATATTATATTAACTTAATTATATATATAATTTTAGATATATTATATTTTGTTAGTTTTATTATTTTTACGGTTGATTTAGTTATCATATGGATATATCAGCTTCTATCTATTTCTCTGAATTCAATTATAATTTTTTTTATTCTAAATATATTAATTTTTGATTAATTGTCTTATTTACATTTATGCCGGTTGTTATCTTAGAAATATAAGTATATCTAGTAAGATTATGTATAACTTAAGATTTTTTGTACTTAGAAAGAAGAAAAATAAAAACTAAATTGTGTGCTTCTAAATTACATAAATAAGTAACTAAAATTTTTTGGAAGCTTATGAACACATATCAATATTTACAATATTTAGATTGATTGGATGGTAAACTGAAATTTATTTTAAATATTTTAAAGATAAGGATTATGATTTGCTTAAGTATTTTGATTATGGTTATATTAAATTCCACGAACATAAAACAGAAAACTAAAAATCAAAGAGTTACTAATAAAACATATAAATTTAGCTATTAAAATATAATATATCTACTTCGTTAAATTATATAGAGTTATGATATTTTAAAATAATTTTAGTTATTTGATCAAAAAATCTTTATTATTAAAATTTATTTTTAGTTTTGTTTTAATATCTCTTTAAATATGCAGTAAAAATGTTATTGTTTTTGAGAAATTATATTATATAAGTAAAATAGAACTTATATTTTTTGATGTAATTGTAAGATATTATAGTCAAATAAATATACTAAAAATATTTCAAGAATACTGATTATAAAATAAATTGTCAATTAAACATATATCAGTTTATGTTACTTAATTATTTTATGTAATCATCTAATAAATTAGATAGATAGATAGATACAAAAAATAATTACTTTGAAAATATATATTTATTGTTTAAAATTATTATTTTTAAAAAAATATTTATTTTTATTATATCAAGATTAGTTGTATAAGCTTTTTTTATGGAGTCACATAATATACAAATATTGTTTTTCATCTAAGAAGATATAGATATAAAGTATTTTATTACTTCAAAAGTATAATTTATGTTATTTAAAATCTATTTAAATTAAATATTACTGTTTTGTGAACTTTCTTTTTTTATGAAATCGTATTATATATACTTATATTTTCGTTTTAAATAGTTTTGTAAACTTTATAAATGTTTCCTTTTTATTTTATATTGTTATTTGGAAATTTTGTAAAAGGAAATAATAATATTTAGTTGTGTTTTTTTAACTCATTAAGGATTTCTAAAAAAAAATTGAAAATAAAGTGTAACTGATAAATTTTTGAATGTTCATGAACATATATATTTAAAAATATATATTAGTGGGGGTATTACTATTTTGTGAACTTTCCTTTTTTATTAAACTCATATTATATACATATATTTTCGTTTTTAAATTTGTTTTAAAATTTTAGAAATATTTCCTTTTTATTATATATGTTATTTGGAAAAAGGTAAAAAAGAAACTAAATAAAAAATTAATAATAATCTTAAAATTTAACAATTCATTAAGAGTATTTATGTAATCAACCATCGCGAGAGTTAACGTGTGTGACACGTAGGAAACTGACTTCTCAAATAATATTATAGAGATCCATCAGTTTTGGTATAAGGCGTGGCCCACATTAGAATAAGTTTTGATGTGACACGTTTTGTTTTTGTCAACACAAGTTTTACAATAGTATTTTAGACATAAAAATAGTATTTTTACTTACAAGTAAAAACCGCAGCTTTGAATAGATAGATTTAAGAGTTATTTTCATTGTAGGGCAGTTTCAAGTTTTTTATTACATTCTAGAGCAGTTGTTGCTCCTAAGACACTTTATTAAAACTACAAGCTAACTATCCTAACTATTTTCTAACCACGTGCATTCTTGAAATTAAATGATTTTACAATTTTTAATTTTATTTTTCTTCTCCTTATATGTAACATAAAAACAGTTTTCTCTCTCTTTCTGTTATAATTGTTTTGAAGATTAAAAAGATGAAGATGAAGAAATTGAGTGGCCGCCATTATAAATGTTGATATATATGGTTTTAAACTTTTTTTTCTCTGCTATAATGGTTTTAATTATTAAAGAAGATGAAGATGCAGAAGTTGGACAACGTCACTTGATATAAATTCAGATCTGTGTAAAAACTTCTTATCTTCCACCTACTTCACCGGTGAAAGAGATGGATGAATGCAGATGTGTCGTAGTCTTTTTGTCATCTCCTCCAACACGTGCATTCATCCATCTCTTTCACCGTCACGACACTGTAGAAGCTTGAGAACATCAATGGCCAATTTAAGTTTTTTGCATTTTTGGTCCTTAATGTTTTGTATAATTATTTTTTAAACCCAAAACTTATTAGTTGTGCATTTTTTATCCTTAACGTTTTTTCTTGTACACTATATGGTTGTACACATTTTGAAACTAACAAAATTATCCAATTAGATAATGTGATATTATGGTAATGTATCAGATCTCATCTATATATGATTTGAGTAANTTTTTTGCATTTTTGGTCCTTAATGTTTTGTATAATTATTTTTTAAACCCAAAACTTATTAGTTGTGCATTTTTTATCCTTAACGTTTTTTCTTGTACACTATATGGTTGTACACATTTTGAAACTAACAAAATTATCCAATTAGATAATGTGATATTATGGTAATGTATCAGATCTCATCTATATATGATTTGAGTAATATATGACATGATTCAACCTAATTTGAACACATGTACACTAATTAACATGTGAACCAAAATCATGTAGATACTATAAATGTCTACATGGACACTATCAGGCAATTTGAACACATGTACACTATAAGATATATGTAACCTAATTTTTAGTGTTATACACAAGTGTACTACCTTATTTGTTGTACACATGTACGCTGACCTTTAATGTACACATGTACACTAACGAATGCACAAAAATTTACAGTATGTTCATTTTGTATCATCGTCATCTTCACTGTGTGTGTACGATAAGGAGGTGTACATGTGTACGACAAATATGATAGTGTATATAAGTAAGACAATGAAACAATTACACTCAGAGGCAGTTTATAAGTTTTATTAACACAATAGGGCAGTTTCAGCTACTCACACACTTTTATCTAACTAAATTTTATTTTCACTCCAAAACTAACTAAATAACATTGACAGCTAGTATCCATTACACTAACTAAAATAAAGTGGGCCCTGTAACCTTCTTCTTCCTCTCCCCTTTCTACTTTTCTATAAATTTTGTAGGAAATCTGAATCTTCCAAATTTATTTTCCAGAAAAATTATCTTTAATCATTGTCTCTTGTTTTTTAGTTATATTTTGAGATATGTTAAGATATATGGTTGATGGTGGTGTAGTGATGATATATTCGACAACAACATTTATGGTAGAAACGTCGGCAACTCTTGTCACTGGAGTACTAGAACTATGTTCTCGTCACTCTGACTCTATATACACTATCATATTTGTCGTACACATGTACACCTCCTTATCGTACACACACAGTGAAGATGACGATGATACAAAATGAACATACTGTAAATTTTTGTGCATTCGTTAGTGTACATGTGTACATTAAAGGTCAGCGTACATGTGTACAACAAATAAGGTAGTACACTTGTGTATAACACTAAAAATTAGGTTACATATATCTTATAGTGTACATGTGTTCAAATTGCCTGATAGTGTC